GCGTGGCGACCCCGCGGGCCCCCCCTCCGCGGGGCACAGGCAACACCAGCGTGGGGAGCGGGGCACGTGCTGCTAACCCCACCACTGCACCACCAGCACCGTCCTCGACAGGCTTTGCCCCCTAGCCCACAAGACAGACGCTCGCCCAAGCCCCCCAGGCTTCCCGGCCCGCGCCACCTCCCGTACTGCGCAGGGCGGTAATGCCGCAGACCAGCATGCTGGCCCCGGCCAGGGGCTGTGGGCGCCCAGGACAGGGAGCAGCGCCTCAAAGTGACTGGCCAGCGAAGCAGAGTCCCCGGTGTCCTGCTGTTTACTGGCCATGAAAAAAACACCTCCTCCCCCCACAAAGCTGCACACCAAGAGCGAGGTACATTTCCGCTAAGAGAACAGGTGAGTCGGCGCCCCAGCTGGCCCGTGGCTTACGTGTGAAATCACCCACCCTCACTGAGAAAGCGGGGGAGCCACAGTCCATCACCAAGCTCCTGTCAGGCCCCTTGATACAGCAACATTCTGGCTCCCCAAGATCGGACACACGGGATTTATCACAGAGACTGGAAGTTTAGGGCATCGTAAAACTCTGAACGTTTTCAGAAAAAACTCTGAGGTTTTTTCCTTACTGTCTCTATTACTCAAGTTTGACAACGAAGCCCACTTCACCTAGGGAGTCTGCACACGATGTCCGGGGTCCTGTTAATACCCCTTCCTCTCTCAGTGGCCCAGTTGGACAGTGAGTCACACAGTATAGTTATACCGGCTCAGCAGCAGTAGTGCCATCCTCAGGGCTCTGGGGCATGGAAGCGCAGCTGCGCCCAGAGCTGGCTTCTGGGGGCACCTCACTTCTGGGCGTGCTGATGTCCTGCTGTGTCCCCGCGGTGTTTTTCCTCCATGCAGTCTGAACCCTGTGACTGGTGAAGAGTTCTTGCCTCCATGCTAGAATTTCAAGATGTGAATTTTAAACAACCCAAAGTAGCAAGACATAGCACCACACACACCTCTGGCCTCGGCATTCCTCCCTCTCCACATGGTCACGACTGGGACCCTGGGGCTCTTTCATCTCATAATTCAACTGGGTGTTCGCCCGGGTCACACCATAAACTAAGGAAATAAACAGGCCCCTTTCCCACCCAAACTCGATCTCTTACACCTCTAAAACCTCAAAGGCCCTAGTTCATACCAAGTTCTGCATTGGTTGTCTCCTTAATGGCAGGTAAAGTGAGCAGCATAAGCTGGAAATGAAACGTCTGGAAGGGTACCAGGTGGCCTGAAGCCTTACCTTAGAGCATACAACTGGGCGGGGACTCCGAATGTTGCAGCCAGGAGAAACCATCATCTCCTCCCGGCCGCTGAGAGGTGAAGCCCCAGGGGCCTTTCAAGCTCCAGAGCATCACTAGGTTGCCCAGAACCAGAGGAACCATGTATAGTGGCGTGAGGACGGCTGCTGTCAACGGAGAGAATGAGGCAGCCAGAGGGAGAAGGCAAGGAAACTGGGCAGAAGAGAAACCTGTATTTTAGCCTTTATTTTCCATGTAATGGTCATTAACTTTCTACCAGAATACAGGTCTGAAAACTCGTCTTCCATTGTGCATGGCGCAGCTACCTTCGTGGCCAGAGACAACGGGGCTCTTCGCCCAGCAGCTGCATGTAACTATTGAACAAACACGCCGTCACTGATGCACTCAGCCGTCACCCTGGCGGTCTCCTGTCTGCCCTCTACTCACCTCCCTTTGCACACTTTGCTTTCTGAGGGACACTGACGCGAGTAGTTCCCACCAGCTAGCTTGTCTTTCACCTTCTCTGGCCCCTGGCTTTCCCCCTTCGCCCGAGTTGCAGGTGTTGCTAACGGCAGCAGCGCTTGCAATTATCAGGGGTTACGACTCTTTGTTGCAAACTTTCAGTGTCTCGCTTGTCTATGAGCGCTGACTCTGACGTCGTAATGTCAGTGCATCTAAAGTCAACTTCTGGATTATGCATAATGCTTAGTATACCTCAAGCCAAGGGGACACAAATAGGTTTTCTATCGTGTTGTAGTATTTTACATTTAGACCTACTGCTTCAGCTTCATCAGTGTGCAAGGTATATAAATTTATGTCTTTCCAGAGTTGTGTCCCGATGGCATCTCCTCAGTCCACCTTTTCCACGCTGCAATGAAAAGGGCTTTTATCACACATACGAGAAGTCTCAGAGGCTTCATGTGCTCTAGACATGACCACCTATTCCACAGCCTCTGCGACTCTTGTCATCGGAAGAGGGGTCCCCAAAGCTCCATTTCCAGTAGCCAGTGACCTTTGAGTAAGAGCTCCCTTCCGTAAGCAATTAAGAGGGAACCCAAGGGCCTCGGGCACCCCAGGAAACGGTACTCCTCTGGGTGGCGCAACTACCAAAGGTCAGGGGTTTCTCTCTAGGTGACGAAAATGCTCTAAAATGGGAGGTGGTGATTCAGGCCGTATGCTTCCGAGTTAACTATCACTCAGTTGTACACTTTGCATCGGTGAACTGGGCGGGACATGAATTAGACCTAAAGCTCCACCAGCCCCTAAATCATTGCTGACAGAATGCTTCTGATCCTGGTGCGACCACCGCTTTGCCCTTCGCGCACCCTCAGTCTCCTGATGGGCTGGCTCGGCAGGCTCACAACTGTGCCCACAGGCGCCCTCCCGTGCTGCCCCTAGTGCCGTATGCGCTGAGGGCAGGGAGCCAGCTCATCCCGACCGCTCCCAAGCTTGCTCTTCAGGTTACACAGCATCCCGCTCAAGTTTGCAGGTTCTCCCACAGTATCTGCGGGAGCAAAAGCTTTTGTTCACTCGACATCCTGTTTTATCCCTCGCGTCTAAAACTGCCCAGCACGTTACAAACACTGTGACTGTTAACTGAACACCCCGGCGGCACTACAGTTCCGTGTCGCGCCACAGCTCTGCATGGTCAGAACATCTTACCCACTAAGCATACTGCCATTTTGTGCCTTACATTTTGGGGGAGACTGATCTTTACCACACTGAATCTTTCTATACAAAGACACAGCTAACTTTCCATTGATTCCATTTTTTTAGTATTAATGTACATTCATAAGCTAACTGCAATTTTCCTGCAGTCTGGAATTGTCTTAGCAGTTTTGTGAAACAAGAGGGTTACGTTTTACTCTATTTCATGCTCTAGAACAATGTGAGTACCACAGACATTGTCTATGGTGCGTTCTTATACATGAAAGTGTGTATTAATGACGTTCTGCAAATTTTTCATGTTTACAAATCTACTAGTTACCTAGCTTAATCTGTTTGTTTTTAATATTATCCCTTGTTTAGTCCCACATTCTACCAAATGCTTTTGTCCTCATCAATTGCTTTCACTACTAAACTACATGTCTGTGGATCCTACAGAGCACTAAGTCACCAGGATACCTTCGTACATGACACAACCTGTCAATTCCCAGTGTGTTCCTTTCCTACGTAGTAGGAAAGTAAGAAAGCCCGTCAGCTACACCACTGTAGGATTCTTAGTTGTGACTTACTGGTTCATTTTATTTGCAGATGTATGTACCTTTCACTTATTGGCACAAAATATATGCTAAGGATTGGTGTTAAACTCTTTTAAGTGAGACATTTAACGCATTCTTCAAACCAAGAGTTTTAAATGGGCAAGTAATGTGAATATAGTTTTATTTTTAAAAGATTAAGCTAGCTAGTGTTAAAAATACACTTAAGAAGAGCAAGAGGTACAATTATTACAATACTGCCATAACATCTAAATGAGATAGTGATGAACTGGACTATAACGGGAACTGGACTAGAAGGACCTAGAGGCCTGTTAGGAGTCCCGAGTCTACAGGACTTAGTGGTCTGGCGGTGGAGGAAGGCTCATTAAGGGCGACTCTCCAGAATGGATTCGCTGGTGATGAGCAAGATGTACACTCTGCCTGAAGGCTTTTCCACACTGTCTGCACTCGTAGGGCCTCTCTCCAGTATGAATTCTCTTATGCAGTGTCAGATGGGCAATCTGGCTGAAGGCTTTGCTACACTCCTTGCATTCATATGGTTTTTCCCCAGTATGAATTCTTTGATGTAGAGTAAGGGATTTACGATGGCTAAAGGCTTTCCCGCAAACATTACATTCGTAGGGTTTCTCACCTGTGTGACACCTCTGGTGACAAATGAGGGAGGCCCTCTGTCTAAATGCCTTTCCGCATTCCAGACATTCATATGGCCTTTTCCCGGTATGGAGTCTCTGGTGGTGAACTAGGTATGAACCGTCACTGAAGGCCTTCCCACACTCAAGACATTCATAAGGCTTCTCACCTGTATGGACCCTCTGGTGTTGAACAAGGTGCGCAATTTGACTGAAGGCCTTCCCACATTCCTTACACTTGTAAGGTTTCTTTCCAGTGTGGACTTTCTGATGCTGGGCGAGGTGTGCATTCTGGCTGAAGGTTTTGTTGCACTCCTTACACTCATAAGGTTTCTCCCCAGTATGGATTCTTTGATGATGGGCAAGGTGCGGGCTCTGTCGAAACGCTTTTCCACACTCCTTACATTCGTAGGGTTTCTCTCCAGTGTGCACTCTTTGATGAAGAGTAAGGGAGCCACGGTGGCTGAAGGCCTTCTTACAGACAGTACATTCGTAAGGCTTCTCCCCTGTATGGATTCTCTGATGGACGGTCAGGGATGAGCCGTGACTAAAAGCCTTCCCACACACTTCACACTTGTAAGGTCTCTCTCCGGTATGAATTCGCTTATGCTGAATAAGCCCTATGTGGTCAGTGAAAGCCTTCCCACAATCAATACAATCAAAGGGCTTCTCTCCAGTGTGATAGTACCTCCGGTGACGTATCAGAGATGCAATCTGCCTGAAAGCTTTCCCACAGTCAATGCATTCATAGGGCCTTTTCCCGCTGTGAATTCTTCGGTGGTGAGCCAGGGATGAACAATCACTAAAGGCCTTCCCACATTCAATACACTCATAGGGTTTCTCTCCAGTGTGCACTCTCTGGTGCTGAGCAAGGTGTGCGAGCTGGCTGAAGGCCTTCTTACACTGCTTACACTGGTAGGGCTTTTCTCCAGTGTGAACTCGCTGGTGTTGAATAAGGTGAGCATTCTGGTTGAAGGCTTTCCCACATTCAGTACATCCAAAAGGCTTTTCTCCTGTGTGAATTCTCTGGTGTTGGGCAAGGTGGGCCCTCTGGCTAAAGGCCTTCCCACACTCAACACATTCGTATGGTTTCTCTCCAGTGTGAACTCTTTGATGAAGAGTAAGGGTTGAAATCTTGCTGAATGTTTTATCACAGTCATTACATTTCAAAAGTTTCTTTTCTCCGTACACATGCTTGGGCTTCTTGACAAAGGAATGCGTTTTTAAGCTTTTCATGTCTGTGTCAACGTTATATACACTCACTCCCATGGGCAATGCCTGTTGTATATACGATGACGTATTCAGGTGAAAACCTCCTCCAGGCTTGCTGGAGCTGTCCAGCTTCGCAGTCCGGGTAGCGACAGGAGCGGCTGTTTCTCGCCTCAGACGTGCCTGCTGGCTAACCAGCTCCCTCTCAGACAGGGCCTCAAAAATGCAGTGTTCCGCTAGTGCAGAACACTCGCGGTCATAGCTTCCAAGTCTTTTCACGATCATGGCCTGGGATAATTTCTCTTCACAGAAGTCCTGTTTTGGAATAAATTCTTTGGACAGCTGCACAGCCTGCAAGTCTGAAAGATAACAGCAACCAAGTATCTCCACTGTTAATGTTAGAAGAATGGAAATTTACAGAACAAAACCATGTCAATCAGTTATTAAAGCAGAAAAAGAAAGATATTTTTGACAGTTCTTAAAGGTAGGCAAGCACCCTTACATTTCTGGAATAAACCTCCCTGGCTGTAACATCATTTCCATGTAACTTGAAGTTTTTTGAGATTTGCCTGTAATTTCCTTTCTAAACACATTCTTTAAAAGTCCTTTTTATTCAATATTGAAGGTCTTAGCACATTTAATTGTGAAACTATTCAGGGATGGTACTTATTTTCTCGCAGGAGGCAGTTTTAGGTGATTATCTGTTTTGCTTCAATGGTGACTGGTCTGCTTAAATTTCCTGTCTCTTCTGGTGTCAACTGTAAATTATAGTCTCCCAAGACAGCCATTTCATCAGGCTTTCAGGTTATTTACCAAAAATTAAGGAAAAGATTCATGATTCTTTTACACACTTATCCATCAAAGGTAAGTTACCACTATTTGCTTTTTTGTGTTTTCTCTGACTTGTCCTGGCAGCTCATATATTTCACTTGCTTTCTAAAGTACTTATTTGCTTTTACTACATCTATTTCCTAAAATTGATTTATTCCTACTTTTATGTCTAAAAGTATACATAACTCATTTCACTTTTCGATTACTTTTGTTCTTATTCTAATAGTTTGAATTTGATGCTTACTTTCTTTTATTTCGTATTTATGAATGTGAATCATTAGGGCTGTAAGTAATCTAACACCCTCCTGCTGAACTGAGACCTGAAAGCAGGAGAAAGCCACACAGGTTGCCGAGTAGACTGCTACCATCTCACTGCAGGCTCAATTCCCTGCAGTATGTAGCTTTAGGCTCCTTTTTGTTTTTTTAATAAAAATTGTCACTTATTTTTTTTTTTAAAGATTTATTTATTGTGCATACAGAACTGGGGTACAGGCCAGAGGCTCAGGGGCGGTGAGAGGCTTCACCAGAGACAGAGTGGGGAACAGACAGGCAGATCGATGAAGTACACTGCTGAGGGGAGCAGCGGGCGGGTCAGGAGAGGTCTGCCACGCCATGTGGTCACCTCCAGGACAGGCGGGAATCGAACTCATGCGGAAGTGGCTTTAGATTCTCAGTACTGTACTTTAACCCGCTGCGCCACCAGGGAGGGCCCGTCACTTACTTATTTTTTATAAGCTTGATTATTTTTTAAAATTTATGTACACAAGATCGGGGGTGCAGACTGGACGTGCGGGAGGGTGGAAGGATTCACCAGGGACAGAGTGGGGGCAGAACAGACAGATGGACTGCTATCCACTGCTGAGGGGGGCAGCAGGCAGACGGGAGGTCTGCCGCACCCTTTGGGTCCCTCCCTAGGCGCAGTGACTGTGGGCAGTTTCATGGTGTTAAGACGTTAACCCCTTGTGCCACCAGGGAGGCCTGGATCTATAGGCTCTTATCTAGCTTTCTAACCCATACAAACAGCTCTCAAGAAAGGCAAGAAAAAAACTATAAATAAATGAACTTCAAGACAGTAAATTTCCTGGGCCCTCCCTAGTGGTGGTGGGGGTGAGAGCGCTGCACTGTGAAACGAAGCTATGGCCACCGCTTCAGTGCAAGCTTGATCCCCGCCCCGGCTGCTCCCCTCAGCAGCGTACTTCATCAATCTGCCTGTTCTGCTTCCCACGGTTTCTGGTGACTCCTCTTACCCCCTGCACCTCTGGCCTATACCCCAGTTCTGAATGTATAAATAAATAAAACCTTGAAAAAGAAAGTAAACTTCCCAAATCCTAGGTCCAAATCCCAAAGGGTGGACATACAAATGGAAAGATGGAGGAAAGATGGAAGAGAAATATGGTCACTGTGGAAACTCGGATTATTGTGCGCCTCAACTACTCTGTGTCTTTGCCTTGATTATTCTTTGCTTAGACTATTCTGTGCCTCTCAGAGCAGAAACAGGGAACGCTGGCAAGGCGCCTCTCGGGGCACAAGTCCTGGCGTGAGCATCTCCACACGCTGACGACGGCATGGGCAGAGATAGCAGCAGGAGTTACGGTCAGAGCAGCACGAACACTCAGACTTTCCTCGCCTTTCTCCCATTTCCAACCCGGGTGGGGCAGCCGGTTACGCGTCCCCACGCACTGCATCCCTGTTTGTCTGCTGGCTTCTTTCATCTTTTTATTTTCCTTCTGATCCTGAATAAAAACGAGACTGTGCGAGACTGTGCGTGGGGCTGGGCTGCCCCTTCGCGGCAGGGCCTGCGGGCTTCTCAATGTTCTGCACATGGACCTGAGTCACCTTTTTTCATCCCACCACCACGTTGTAACAAGGCGGATGTTACTAAGGTAATTTTCTTCCTCTCTCATACAATTATCAAAAGATGGTATTTTAAGTTTCAAGAGGACGAATTCTGGCTTTGTCTTTTTTAATTTGGGGGTTTTATTTCTAATTCTTCATATAAGTAGGTGAATTCTGAAATGCAGATTTAAAGATATCCAGCAGCACAAATTAATTTATGGGACTAAAAACCTTTCCAACCAAAGTGTGAGAGGGCTTAAAGAGAAAAGAAAGAAGATAAAAGACATGAATTACAAAACAAGAAAAAGGGAAAAATAATTAAAAGCAGAAGGGAATGTAGCTGTTGTCAATCAACCTGATAAAACCACGGTGTTAAAAAAATTTTTAAGTAGTTGAGGAAACTAAATACAAATTTCTCTAGAGAAGTGAAAAATGCTGTAAGCCAGGAATGGTTAAAACATTAAGATGGAGGCCTCCCTGGTAGCATGAGGAGTTAAAGTCTCCCCGCTGCCCCCTCAGCGGTGGGTTTCAGTCCACCTGCCTGTTCTGCTCCCCACTCCGTCTCTGGGGAATCTGCCCACCCCCGGTGCCTCTGGCCCGCTCCCCAGCTGTGTGCATAAATAAGTCAGTCTTAAAACTAAACAGTAAGATCCTGGTGCAGACCTAGGTGGACATCAGTGGAACGTAAAGTTCAGAAGCAGACCGTGGTCATGGGCCACCAGGAAAGAGAACAGTGAGGGTGAGGGCTGTTCAGAAAAGGGTGCTAGGACAAGTTTCAACTGGGCAGGATTCTGCAAGGGGTTTTCCGACAAGATCACAAAGAATACCGGAAGCACAGCCGCCCGCTCGGTTACCCTGCGCTTACCTGGGCACACCTTCCCTTCCACCACCCAGGGCTCTCTCCCTTGCTCCAGTAAGGAGATCACCTCTGGCCGAGAAACGCAAAGACCTGTGTGCAAGCAAAGGAGAAGAAGCAAGCTAAGTGGCTACTCCAGGCTGGCCGGGCGCCAGCAGCGAGGGGAGAGGCGCACTGTGGAAACCGGCCAGCGCAGGAGAGAGCTGCCTCTGCGGAAAGAGCCCCAGGGGAGCTGGGAGGAGGGTCCCTCACCCACTGAGGCCAGGTTCCTGTAGTTCTCCAGCATCACCTTCCTATACAAAGTTCTCTGAGCAAGACTCAGCCATCCCCACTCCTCCTGGGAGAAGTCTACGGCCACATCCTTGAACGTCACTGTGTCCTGGAACGACACAAACACGCGGTGATGTGTGACCAGCTAGAAGTTGGCGTTCTTACTTGTTTATGCGTACCAGAGCTGGGCGGAGGGGGCAGAGTGGGGAGGACAGAGGGACTGAAACACTCTGCTGAGGGGGGCAGCGGGGAGACAGGAGGGGACTGCTGCGCCCTGGGTCACCTCTGGTTGGGGCCGGAACTCACAGTGAAGCGGCTGCGCCTGGCTTCGCAGAGCTGCTGTAACCCGTTGCGCTGCCAGGGAAGCCCTAGACCATTTCTTACTCTGCGCAGCCAGCGACAGGCAGAAGCCCTGAGGGGCACAGGGCGTTCCGGGTCTAGCCTCACCCACCATCCAGTGAGGAAACGGATCCAGGTGCAGGGCGGAGCTGAGTCGCGCATTCTCAGGAAACAAATATCACTACATCCGGAAAAGAAGGACGCCAGGGAGCCCTAACTCACCGGGGGCATGGCTTTTAGGGGTTCGGTTCGTGCCACCACCTCCTCTTCCCGGCTCCTCACTTGGAGGTCTGATCCCGAGGGCAGAGCTGTGAGGGGAGAAAGGGAGCTGCTGAGTAGCTTCAGAAACCACAGCCCGCAGCTCCCCGTGCACCCCCACAGCCCCCGCGGGCTTCCTGGCTGGGGTGTCACCGCTAGGTGAAAGCCTCTCCGGCGGCGGCGCGGCAGGGGCGCAGCGCGGTTCTCCTCGGCCTCACCTGGTAGCTTCCAACGAGGGGCGACCCCGCCCGCACCCAGACACACCCTTGGCTGCGAATGGCCGACCTGCACCAACACACCCAGCGGCTGTTCTGCCTGTGACAAACTAGCTCTGCGGTCCGAGCCAGCGCCTGGGACCTGGAAAGGGCACCAGCATCCGACCGCAATCCGCGTCTCTCCTCAGAGTCTTACTACTGTTGCCCAACAGGCGCCAGCACGGGCCACGGGCTCCGTGCCGGGGGCACACGGCGCCCCACATGCGGCCTCTCACC